ATTTGAGAGGTTGTGGGTAGTCCAGAAAAGGACAGCACAGTTTTGAAAATGAAAACATTCCTTTGTTAATTGCTCCTGCCCTGGACCTCACCCAGAGCCAGATGGAAGTATGGTATGTCATTTATTGGTTTCAAACTCCCAGTTTTCTGCAATCCACCTCATCCCCGTGGACCACACCCACCCATCCCTTGCAAGTGTTCACAGGACTCCCACGCAATTCCCCCACACTTGGTATGCCTGCCTGGTAGAGAGAAAGAAAAGCTGTTCCACAGGGCTAAGTTTTTTCCACATACCCCTCCACCCAACTGAGTTAAAGCAGCAGATTCTTATGTTTACGTTTCATTCTGCTAACAAAGAACAAACATGACCCCAAACTCTCCCCACCACCTACCCTTCCGAAAACTTGCGAGTTAATTTTAGACACGGAGAATGGATCTGGCCATGGCTTCCCACACGTGGTTTGTTCCAAGCCAGGCTCCACTACCAACCCAACTTACCCGAAGCAGCCCCAGACTTCCCGAATCAAGAGAGGGGGGCAGGAGTGGCTGGACCCTGGCCAGGTCCATGGTCTCTCAGTCTCCCTTTGGAGGAGGAGGGGAGCCACCTTCATCTCCTGGGATACAGGTCAAGTCCAGAGAGAGGCCCTAGGCTCCCTCCTGTTGCCTGACAAGCACACCCGGACATAATTTTTTTTGCACAACAGCCAGTGTCTACTTTTTCCATCCTCTGTCTGCCATTGTTCTGTTTTTATACAGCACTTGAAGAATGTCTGGCAGAAGGAACTTGAGTCCCAAACTCAGGGCATGGGTCTGGGCCCACCACTTGACCTCTCAGACGTTGAGAGATTTCCTACCCACTGAGGTAATTCCTCCCATTATTCTGAAGTCATGAGGGAGGATGAAGGCTGGACAATAGGGAAAAAAAAGAAATGTGCTTTTAGATGTAGGAAGCTAGTTTTCCATATAACTCAAGGAATAAACAAATAGTGTGGGAAAAGACGGGAGTTTTTATCTTTAAGGAGGTGAGCATAGTGGAGGCCTTGAGTTGTCTAAGCTATATGTCTACATTGCCAGAATATAAAGCAGTAAAGTCCAGTTTGCCAGTTGGCCTGTATAGATCAAATCAATCAATCAATCATTTATTAAACAATTACTATGTACCAGGAACAAGGCAGAGTAACCTAAGAATTCAAAGATTAAAAAAATGAAATGATCCTAGCCCTCAGGAAGCTTGAGTTCTATTGGGAGAGGAATGAGTGTGTGTGTGTGTGTCTGTGCATGGCAGCAAGGTCATGCAGTGTATATAGTGCACTAGGCGTAAAGTCATAAAGATCTGAATTGAAATTCAGCCTCAGACATTTACTAGCCATGTGATCTTAGGCAAATCTGATTAAATGCTTTGTGATTTGAAGTAAGGTGGGGTGGATGGCTGGTGAAAGTAAACACCTAAGTAGGTAAAGTAAGGTCCCATGGATTATGGTTATGGGCAGATGCTGTGTGTGTGTGTGTGTGTGTGTGTGTGTGTGTGTGTGTGTGTGTATGTGGTGACAGGGTCAGTTGCTATTATGGGTGGAAACTGACTTAAAGAGGATGTGAACCTAAAGTAGCTTTTCTAGAGGGTGTGCATGGGTTGGGGGTGAGAGGGTCAGGTGCTATCGCTCCTTACTCCCAAGACCTTTCAATCAGATTGTTCCCCTCGTTCTAGTAAACAGCACTCTCTCCTTTGATACTCTTAGATGCTTTTTGGTGGAGGTAAAGACATTTTTTTTTCTGTTTCACAACTTGCTCACTTTTAATTATTTAGGCAGGAGGTTGTGATGAACTTGGAGTCAGAAGTCGTGACTCTGATACATGGTGAGATCATTTCACCTCTTTTATCCTTGGTTTTCCCATCTATAAAATGGGGATAATAATGCTTGGACCACCTGTGTACATCATAGGCTTTGAAAATTGTTAATAGTGTTATAGAGATTTGTGATGCTATTATTAGAAAAGGGAAAGGACCCTTTTTCTTCTTTTATGATTAATGCTGGTCAAGTTAGCTTGAAATTTTCTTTCTGAAGAAACTTGCCCTGCCTTCCATATCATTTGAAAATCCTAATACAAATGTTAAGCTGTTAACCGTAATTTTCCAAATAATAACTCATTTGGTTCAATCATTGTTTCCTTGTCATTTGCCAAATACCCATCTAGGTTTCAAGGGCCTAGATTCAAATACTAATTATACTTTTGATTAAGAGACTTTGGATAAGGTGGAGCTTGAACCAAGTCTTAAAGGAAGCCAGAGATTGTAAGAGGCAGAGGTTAGGAGGGCCAATATCACAAGCATGGTGGACAGCCAGCACCAAGATGGGAGATGGAGTTCTATGTAAAGAGCAGCAAGTAGGCCAGTATGGCTAGACTTTATAATGTGTGGAAGGGAGTGATATGCTATAAAATGAGAAGGGTAGGAAGGGGCCAGATTGCGAAGAGCATCCCTTACCAAACTGAGAACTTTACATTTGATCCTGGACATAATAAGGAGCCATTGAGGTTTATAGAGCAGGGAGATCAACACGGTCAGAGCTGCGCTTTAGGAAAATCACTTTGGCATCTGAGGGTGGGAAAACACTTGAAGCTGGGAGTCCAAGTAGAAGGCTGATTAGTTTCCTTCAACTGTATCTTGAAAAATCTTTCTCTACAGGCTCAGCTTAGGCACAAGCCCCACCCTCCCACCTGATAGAATCTCCTTTCTTATTGTTGTTTGGTCCTTCATTCTCAAAGAGGACCAAAGACATCAGAAGGGTAGTGTTGTGATTTGAGCATCCTTAATGTTCTCCTAGAGAACTTAGCCAGAATTGTTCTTTATTTCCATCAGAGCCCACCTTGCATAAATATAACTGTTGTTTCCTCCTATAAGACAATAAGCTTGCTGAAGGCAGGGCCTGTGTCATCTTTGTCTTTGTAGCTTTAGCTCCCAGAATTGTGCCTTGCATATGGACTTTTTTTGGGGGGGCAGTTGGGGTTAAGTCACTTGCCCAGGGTCACACAGCTAGTGTTTGGTCTGAGGCCGGATTTGAATTCAGGTTCTCCTGACTTCAGGGCCGGTGCTCTATCCACTGGCCACCTAGTTGCCTCACATATGGACATTTAACAAGTGTTTGTTGAACAGAATTCCGCTGTATCACCTTTCACTTCTGTTGGGCTAGGCAGGTATAAAGGTTATTATTTCACAATGTCTTATACATTATAGGGACCTAGTAAGTATTTTGTTGAATTGAATTGAGGAGGTAGAAGACGTACGAGGTTTTCTTGCTATTGCTAAAGCTACCACACAAGGGTGATCTGGAACCAGCTCAAAACAGCTTGAGAGCCATTTGTTAAATTTTCATGATGAGCATTTATATTTTGGAAGTCAGCAAATGCTACAAATCAGGGCTTGATTTATTGCTTTATTGATTGTCTAGACTGAAGAAATGATGGAGAAAATGTTAATAATGGATGAAATTTAAAAGGATGTCATGCGCACAATTTTTTTTTTTCTGGAAAGCTAGTTGTTAAATACTTATCAACGCACTGCTGCTGCTATCTCCTTTCTCCTGCTCCATGGATGACCTCTAGGCCAATGTATCACAACTCAAATTATAGTGTGGCCTTGGAAAATTTCTCAGTTTCGTAGTAGGGACCTCTGTGTTCTCCAAAACCCAGATCAATGACTATTGAAGGCTTAGGAGGTAGAGACCTTCTGGTAAAAAGGACACAGCCCAGGGCTGAGAAGGAGGAGATGGCTAGTTTTTAAAGTTTATGTTTTAAGATGTAAAGCTAACTTTTAAGAAAGCAAATCAAAAGAAACACAAACATTTTTTGCAGAATTGTAAAAACCTGACATGAAATCGTGTGATCCTGAAATTCTTTAGGTCATTTCAGACCAGGGTACAACCTAAACCAACCCAAGGAACAGAAAAAAGCAGGAAAAAATATTTTGTGAAGGAGGCTGATCTTCAGGACCAGATGCTGGTCTGGATTCTACTTTGAGTCCTTTTCAATGGCATTCCACTTAGACCAATATAAATGAGGTTTTGTTGTTGTTATTGTTTTTATTACAATGTTTTTTCTATCTACCAGTTTTTCCATATGGAAGTTTTGGTATTGTCCAATTTCTCTTGATGTCTCTACAACATTTGATGCCAGAACTTCACCAATAATAGCTGCAGCCAGAGGCTACATGGGGAAGCTAGATGGTTGGGTTCTAGGCTGTAGCCTCTGCTAAGGAGATGAGTCTAGAAAAATAGTGGATGGAGGGAGAGAGGTTATAGGGTAAGAAAAAAAAAACTAAAACAAGCTAGGATCCAAGAGGACATGAGAAATCATCATGGAGCTGACAAAGGTATTCTAGAACTCACAATGACCCTAAAGCTATTTGATTGTCCTTTGTTTAATAATAGCTAACACTATTATTAGTGTTAATACTATGTGTCAGGCATTGTGCTAGGTGCTTTGCAAATCTTATTTCATATGATTATCACAACAACTCTGAAAGTAGGTGCTCTTATTATTTCTATTTTATAGATAAGTGTTTGTTTTAAACATACTCCATACACATGAAGCCACGGTCTCTTTATGACTCCTAGAGCAGCAGCTGACACTCAATTCTTTAGCTAAATTCAATCGACACTTTTTATGCTACTACTCCATCCAAGACACTGTGCTAGGGTCTGAGGAAACAAAAACAAGACAAAAATCTTTCCTGTCCTCAAGGAGTTTACAATCTACTGGAATAATACCATATTTTATAGATAGCCAGATACATAGCAATTTTTGGAGGAAGAGAGCACTAAGAATGAGAGGGAATGCTAAAATGATTCTTATCGGAGGTAGTATCTGAGCTGACCCTTGAAGAAAACTGAAGATTTCACTGTTGGAGGCAGAGGTAAAGAGGGAGTGAATTCCAAGCACTGGGACAGCCTGTGTGAAGTCACAGAGGCAGGGCATGGAATGTTGAATGTTGAATTCTATAAACAACAAGGCCACTTGGGCTGGAATGTAGAAAGCAGCAGAGGCAGAAATGTGAAATAAGGCCAGGAAGGTAGGTGGACGTCAGATTGTAGAGGGCAAAAGAGTTTGGTATTTTATTTCAGAGACAATAGGAACTCACAGTTCTTGAGTAGGGGAGTGATATTTCCCTTAGCAAGATTATTTTGATGGCAATGTGGAGGATGTAGTGAAGAGAGGAGAACCCAGAAGCAGGAAGACCAACTATGAGAATAGTCCAAGTGAGAAGGGAGAGCCTGCTCTAGAGTAGACATTGCACAAGTAGAGAAAAGGATATAGGGATGAAAGACATAGAATTGGCAAGATTTTACAACTAATTCGATATTAGGGTGAAGGAGAGAGAAGAGTGAATGATGGGTCTCAAGCTGTAAACTTGAGTGACTGGAAAAGATGGTGTAGCTACTGCTAGGGAGGTGTGTCTGGAATAATGGGGGATGGAGGAAAGTTGTAGGGTGAGAGAAAAATCAAACCAGGATCCAAGAGGACATGAGAAATCATCATGGACCTGACAAAGAAGAGTGGTCTCCTAAATTCTAAACAGAAATAGAGAAATTCTCAGGAGGGGACAGGGAATTAGGAGGGAAAAATGGTCTTTGTTTTGGACATACTCCATTTCAGGGGCTTATGGGTAGATCTAGTTAGCTGTCAATTGGGAGTCTGGGACCAGATTTGATGAAAGACTAGGGCTGGGTATTCTACAGGTTTTGGAGTTATCTGTGTTGTAATGATCACTGAGCCCTTGAAAATATTCTATACATGGCTTTTGTGGGAAAAGATTGTAGGAGAATGAGTGGGAGAAAAAAAAAAGGACTTGAGAAGAATACTGTAGAAGGAGAAGAAAATCATGTCAGTGACCTGAAGAGGTTTAGACTAACTAGTGAAGCAGGTCAGAGGAAGGAAATTAAGGGAGAGGAAATTAAAGAATGTTTGAAGGACACCAATCTTCAGGTCCAGATACTAGTCTAGATTCTCTTTCTGGACTGAAAGATAAGAAAGTTCAAAGACAATTAAGAAAGATATAAAATAATTAAGGAGAATCAAGGAAGATTGGGGAGTAGAACTTGAAGACAGACTCTAGAAGAAAAATAAGATAGTTGTCAAGACAAGGCAAGTTAAGTATGGAAAAGTAAGTAGAATAACTAGGAGCAAAGCAAATTGATACCATGGATTGGTAGGTGTGGCAAATGGTAAAAAAAAAATAAATAAAAGATGGGAAATTGGTACAAGGCTGAAGGGAAGGTGAATGTGATTAGGGAAATTGGAAACTAAGGAAAATAAGTTGAGTGAGTTTGTAAGGTTATTAACAGATGATAATTGGCTATAGAAATCAACCAGTTGTTTAGAATTGAGGTGCAAACATCCTTGTGTATTTATTTGGGAGGTAATGGGGGTTGCCCAGGGTCACACAACTAGTAAGTATTCAAGATTGGATTTGAACTCAGGTTCTCCTGACTTCAGGGCTGTTGCTGTATCCACTGCACTGCCTAGCTACCTAATAAGATCTGCCCACTGCAAATCCCAAATATTACAGACAGTAGGGGAAATTATTCAATGATTTTCATCTAGCATGTGATCTTTGTATGTCTGCCACAACAGTTGGTTGTTATCTGTGATCCAAGTGTAGGCTGATCTCCCCTCTGGAGAGAAGGTTTAGGGATTTGAAGAATGCCTCTCCTCATTCCACACTGCTACAGACAGGAAACAGAAGTGAGGGCTTCAATAGTGGCCAAAAAAAGAGGGGGACCTAAGTTGGAGAAGGGGAGACCTGACTGACCTAGGTGTTAGAGAACAGAAGAGTACTACACAAGGTAGAAAGGAAAGGGGCAGCTGCACAATCATAGTCTAAAAACTCATTACAGACTCTTAATGAAGAGGAGAGGATAGAAGCTATTTATGTCCAATAAAGGCCAGAAGAAGACATTAGCAATGGTTGATTATTTCCTGTTTAGGGATACCAAGGCTTGTTGACTTGATAACAACAATAGAGAGGTTTGTTGACTTCCTGGTTGGTGCATGTATTCAATACGAAACCAAGAACCTGTCAAGATTGTGAAAATGGATGACAGCTGCCAACTTCTGGTGATTCTCATGGGAACAAATGACACTTGTGGAAGGAACCTAAAACACATTGCCAACAATTATGAAGTATTGGTCAGGAATTAGAAGACCATGGAGACATGATTTGTGTTTTTCTTGCTGTTGTCAGCTGAAGACAAGGTATTCAGAAGAGAAAATTTAATTTGGGAAGTGAACAGCTGGCTAAGAAGGCTGTTTTGAAAATGGGAGCTGGATTTCTGAACCATAGCTTAAAATGTAGGGATGATAGATTACTGGCCTGAGATGGAGTGCATTTAACAAAGTCTAGTAAGAATGTACTTCTCAGACTATTTGTAAACCCAATCAAAAGGGCTTTGAATTAAAAAGGCTAGGGCAGGGACAATAACCTTAAATTAGATCCCATAGAGAATGGGTATAAAGAAAGAAGAAGAATAGCAAACAAGACAACAGAAGTTCAAAGGAGATGAAATCCCCACACCCATGATCTTAAATGTCTATACCCAGATTCTCATAGTTTAGGTAACAAAAAAGAAGAAACCAGAGGTCCCAATACAAGGAAGTAAAGTTGACTTTTTAGGTATCACCAAGATGATGGGATGAAACCTATGACTGTGCCATAGCTCTAGATGGGTATACATTATTCAAAATAAGCATGACAGGTAAAAGGGAATAGGGGCAGTACTGTACAATAAGAAAGTATACCCACATGAAGAAATTCAGGAATGAGAGTGGAGGAAAATGAGAGAGAGAAAAGTTGTGAAGACCAACTGAAAGAAATAAAAGTGACTTGTCACAGACCACCAGAATATAGACCACCTGGATAGAAAGAGTAAACAGGTAAGGAATTTGGGAAATAAATCATAAAACTGGCGTAGAAGCCTGTTATAGTAGTTCGGGGGGGGGATTCAATTATCTAGATATCTGCTAGGATCATCTCTCTGATAAACACAGAACAGCCAATAACTTCGTGTTTGCCTCAGAGATTTTTCATACTTCAAAAAAGGTAGAGGAACAAATAAGATGAATTCATTCTGGATCTGATTCTCATTAAAGAAAAGCACCCAGTGGTTGGAGTGGAAATGATGGAACCCCAGAGGGAAGAGAGCACTCAGTGACTTAGATAAAGTCATCAATGGCATGCAAATCAAACTTGTAGATGACACCAATCTGGAAGGAATGCTAACAATGGATGACAGATACAGTATTGAAAAATATGTGCACAAGCAAGAACATCAGGCTGAATCAAATAAGATAAAATTCAATGAGAATAAATGTAAAGTCTTTTACTTTGGTACAAAACATCAATTTCACAGGTATAAGATGAGGGAAGTGTGGCTAGAAGGCAGGGAAGATGATAGTAGAAGTGTACAGGGCTCGTCAGGAAGATGTCCTTTACTCAGGAGAAAGATTTGCATGTACTCTCTCCTCATTTCTGTCTCAAAGAAAGCCCCTCTTCCTTTAAGACATAACTCAAGCAACATCTTTTACATGAAGTTTTTCCTGATTCTTGCAACTGCTTGCACCCTCCTTCCCAAACCACCTTGTATTGAACTACTTTGTTTTTATTCTCTTTATGTTATATATCCCTATCATATGTTGTATATGTGTATAAACCAACATATACTTATATACGAGCTTGTTGTCTATCCTTCCTTTCCCCCACCATTAGAATGTAAAACTCTGTGAGAGTAGGGATGGTTTTATTCAATTGCATTTGTATCCCCAGTGCCCAGCAAAGTGCCTGGCATATAGGAAGTGCCTTAATAAATGCTTGTTGAGTGACTGAAAATAAGATGTAATAGAAGAATGAATGAGAGATGTTAGATAGGAGAATTAGTACCACTTCATACTTCAGAGGATCCATCAGTGGGGTACTCCCTTCACCACTGCAGATCACATCTAATCCATGTCCTCTCTCTTGTGCAATGAACTGTACTGGATTTGGAAAGAGAAGTCCTGGGTCTGAATCCCAGCTCTGACACTTGATGGCTCTTGGACCTTAAGCAAATCACTTAATCTCTCTAGAGCTTTAGTTCCCTCCAGGGCTATTCTGTAGCCAGTTCTAACCTACTTGTAAGAGCTGATAGTTACTTTTTCAGGGTGAGCATTCACACCTCCAAAACTGACAATATTGTTTTGTTAATTGTCTGGACTTAAGAAAATGTTAATATTGTAGATTAAACTTAAAAGCGTGTCAGTGCATTTGCTCCCTCCTCTCCTCCTTGTTAAACATTTACTAGCACATGCCTGCATGACTCTATAAATACTGCTGGACCTCATCAGGACTGCAGTAGAAGGCTCAGAGAATGAAACTATCAGACTGGAAGCTAACAACAACAAACAACTGGCATTTTAATAGCACTTTAAGGTTGGCAAAGTGCTTTACGTTCCTTATCTCATTTGAGCTTCACCACAATCTTAGTTCTCTTATCTGTAAACATGAAGAGGATTGGACTAGGTGACCTCAAAGGTCTCATCTGGTTCTCAATCTATGATGGAGAATGTTGTGTCTTCCTGTGAGATTGGCTCATGTCTTTCTGTAAATCCAGAGGGGAAGATTCCTTCTTCAAACTGGCAGCCTTCGTCTGGATCCTATAATGTTTCATAGATAACAAGGTGGCAAAGGGGTGGTCCATCTGTCATCCCTCACAGGATCATAAGCTCTAGTGTTGAAAGTAACAAAGATTATCTTGGCTAACCCTGTGACTTTACAGTTAAGGCCCGGAGGCATTTCAATGACTTTCCTAGCTTTATAAGTAGTACATATCAGAGATAGCATTTGAACCAAGGTCTTCTGACCCAGAATCAAAATCCTCACTGTTCTTTCCCTGTGTTATGCCTCCTACTCATTTTCACTATCTTCTTGCAGTGCCATTTCCCCTTGATGATGGCCATTTGCCTTTCAAATGTGCTTCAAATCACCTGTAATTCTGAATAATTTGTCTTCTTTGCCACAGGTTAAAGACAGCTGTTTAGATTGGGGTAGTGTTGTGAGGCTGCTGAGAAGGAAGGGGTGAATGTGGTGGTGGTTGAGAAGGAAGTAAGGAGGAGGAGACTGGTCCTTGGAATCTCAATAATGTACTATGTAGGCTGAGGAATGCCATCAGCCTCGGACCAATCCTCCTCCAGCTGGGTGTTGTAGCATTAGAAATTGGAGGCCAGAAGAATTCTCCCTTCCTCGGCCCCAAACTTGCTCACTATTATTGGATAATAGAAGTAGAGTTGGAAGGGAACCTAGATAGTCTATAGGACATCACCCCTTATTTTACAGATAGGGAAACTGAGATCCAGAAAACTGAAGGGACTTTCCCAAGGTCACCAGGATATAAATCCAGATAAACAGGCAGTTTGGTAGAGGAGAAAGAATAAAAAACCTGAAATATGAGGCATTATGCAGTAGGGGGAAAATGTAAGATTTGGAGTGAGAGGACCTGGGTTTGAATTCTGACTCTACTGGTTACCTGCATGACTTTTATTTAGTAAGTCATTTGACCTCCCTTGGCTTCATTTCCTCCCCTATAAAATTAAGGAGTTTGACCAGATGATCTTTAAGGTCTCTTTGAGCTCGAAATCAGTGATTCTGTGAATAGGGTATGCATCTCAGCTCTTCTTACTGGCTTGGTTCCTTGGGCAAGTTGTATTGGATCTCCAGCTAGCCAGAGAGGATTTTCTTTCCTGGGAGTTACAAGGGAAGAGAACAAGCTTGTTGACTCCATGGCAATATCAGATTGATGTGCCCCAACTCCACTCATTTGTCCTTCCTCACCCTTAATCTGAAAATATGAAATGACAGCAAGAATTCTTAACTCCAAAGACCAGAATAAAAACCAGAACAAGGCTCTTCAGCACATTCCCATGCTTCATTATTCAATATTGCCTACCAAATGGTACAGTGGAAACATGCTTTTTCTTCCTGATTCAACAAATTCAAGTGGCCCCCTGTTGCCTCTAGGATCAAATGCAAGATGCTCTGTTTGACATTCAAAGCTATGCATAATCTAGCCCCCTCCTACCTTTCCAGTCTTCTCATACCTTACTCCCTGAAACTCAGTCCAGTGACACCGACCTCCTGGCAGTTCCACGAACAAGACACTTCATCTCTCAGCTCCTGGAATGCTCTCTGGCTGATGCCTGGAATGTTCCTCCTCCTCCACTGTGAGTATTGACTTCTCTGGCTTCTTTTATTATTATTTTTTAAAAAGTGTTATTAATTAATTTAGTTTTAATTTTCAACATTTACTTTTATAAGATTTTGAGTCCTAATTTTTTCCTTCTCCCTCCTTGCTTCCCAAGATAGCATGCAATCTGATATAGGCTATATATGCATAAACATGTTAAACATATTTCCATATTAGTCATGTTGTGGAAAAAGAATAAGAACAAAAGGGAAAAACCATAAGAAAGAAAAAAAAACAAATAAAAAAGAGAAAATAGTATGCTTCGATCTGCATTCAGACTCCATAGTTCTTTCTCTGGATGTGGCTGGCATTTTCCATCATGAGTCTTTTGGAATTGTCTTAGATCACTGTGTTGCTGAGAAGAGCTAAGTCTATCAAAGTTGGTCATCACCCAATGTTACTATTACTTGTACAATGCTCTCCTGGTTCTGCTCACTTTACTCAGCATCAGTTCACATAAGTCTTTCCAGGATTTTCTGAAATCTGCCTGCTTTATCATTTCTTATGGAACAATAGTATTCCATTACATTCGTATACCATAACTTGTTTAGTGATTCCTCAATTGATGGGCATCCTCTCAATTTCCAATTCTTTGCCACCATAAAAAGGGCTGATATAAATATTTTTATACATGTGGGTCCTTTTCCCTTTTTTATGATCTCTTTGGGGTACAGACCTAGTAATGGTAGTGGTATTGCTGGATCCAAGGGTATGCAAAGGTTTATAGTCCTTTGGGCATAGTTCCAAATTGCTCTCCAGAATGGTTGGTTCAGTTCACAACTCCACCAACAATGCATTAATATTCCAATTTTCCTGCATCTTCTTTAATATTTATAATTTTCCTCTTTTGCCAAGTTAGCCAATCTGATAGGTGTGATGTGATGCCTCAGAGTCATTTTGATTTGCATTTCTGTAATTAATAGTGATTTAAAACATTTTCCCTATGACTACAGATAGTTTTAATTTCTTCATCTGAAAACCACCTGTTCATATCCTTTGACCATTTATCAATTGGTGAATGACTTATATTCTTATAAATTTGACTCAGTTCTCTATATATTTGAGAAATGAGGCCTTTATCAGAGACACTGACTGTAAAAACTTATTCCTCAGCTTTCTGCTTCCCTTCTAATCTTGGTTGCATTGGCTTTGTTTGTACAAAAACTTTTTAATCTAATGTAATCAAAATTATCCTTTTTGCATTTTATAATGTTCTCTATCTTTTGTTTAGTCAGAAATTCCTCTGTTTTCCATAGATCTGACAGGTAAACTATTCTTTGCTCACCTAATTTACTTATGTCTAAATCATGTACCCATTTTGACCTTATCTTGGTATGTGGTGTAAGGTGTTGGTCTATGTTTGGCTTGCTTTAAATCCCAAGTAAAATCCTACCTTTTATAGGAAGCCTCCCCTAACCCCCTCAATTCTAGTGCATTCCCTCTGTTAATTGTTTCCTATTTATCTTGTATATTTTTTTGTTCTCATGAAGTCAATCTTCAGCTTTCTTAGGGGTGATGTTCCTAGAAAATGGCATGAAAGTAAAAAATGCAAATGTCAATACATTGAGCCTATGGGAAATAGGGGGTTAGGTTCCTGTGACCACCAAAAACTATAATCTTATACTAGAGATTGCTGAAAATACACTTTTCTATATATAATTCTTTATAACAAAACATTAATTTTGATAATAAACACTTTTCCTAACTCAGTAACTGTGAAATAAAATTGGTAACATGCACAACATTTTTTTTTGCTAGTAATTCCGTAGAATTTTATGTTAACATTGCAATTTAAAAAAAACACTGATTTCAAACAATATTCATCTTTCATAACACATGAAATTTATAGGACTCATAAATATTATACAGCAAATACAATTCTTAACATTTTTTACTATGAATCCTACTTCTCACTGTGTAAGATGGCAGTATGAGGGCATTATACTATTTTCTATACTGCTATAAACCTTTTTACCTTGGCTGCCCTCTGAAAACTGAGGGAGAGGCTGCTAGGATGGATGGTAGACACCAAAGCACTTTACCAAGCACATAATTGCAACACAACACTTGAGTTTTAAAGGCAAACAATGAAAATATGCAAAGAATTTACAAGGAGCTCTTACTCTACACCAGTAGACCCCAGTGAAGGGCCTAGCAAGATAGCAGCCACTTTACAAGCTCCTGTGCTACTGTGCCTAGCTGTGAGTCTATGGGGCTGCCAACAGGAAAGTGAAAATGAGGTTGCTAATAAAATTATGTGAATGTTTGAAGTTGAGAAAGTTAAAAGTGAAAACACTGAGGATTGACTGTATTTGTTTGCATGTTGTTTCCCCCATTAGGTTGTAAGCTTTTTTAGGGCAGGAACTGTCTTTTGTTGCTTTTTGTCTCTCCAATGCTTAGCAGAGTGTCTGGGACATAGTAGATGCTTAATAAATGGTTATGGATTGATTGTTTCCACTAACTATCTAATTATATATGTAGATATCACACCTATATGCATGTGTATATGTGTATATATTTACATATATGCATATGTATATGTATGTATGTGTGTATACCTATAAACATATACAAAGCTTTAGGTCCCTGGGCCTCAGTATCCTCAGTTGTAAAATGAGAGGGTTAGAGTAAATGATCTCTAAAGTCCTCTCTAAATAACCCATGTTCTGCAGTGGAAAGAGCATTTGGCTTGAAGTCAGAAGATCTGAGTGCAAAGCTACTCCTATATACTTACTAGCTATGTGACCCTGGGCAAGTCACTGAACTACTACCTGCCTCAGTTTCCTCATATATAAAGTGAGTATAATAATAGTACCTACTTCCCAGGGTTGTCATGAGGATAAAATGAGATAATATATGTAAGGCAGTTTGCAAAATTTAAAGTGCTATATAAATGCCATCTATCATCATCATCATCCATAAGTATCCTCCCTCTTCTCCTCCTCCAAGGAAGGCAGAGACTAAACACTTTCGTAGGCCTTTCTGGATGAAAACAAGTACAGGCCACCAGAGAAGGTTAAATGTCAGTGACTTACTATATAGCACTAAATCTATAAACCAATTATGGTAGCATCATCATTTTGAATTATATTGGTATTGCTCAGCCATTAGCATTGAATACCCTTCCAATTATTTAAGTTCTTTATGTCTTGAAATAGTATTTTAAAAAATTGTGTTTATGCAAATCTTGACTGCATTTTGGTGGATTGACTGCTGTATATTTTATGCATTTTGTGATTATTTTGAATGTCACTTCCTATTCCATTATTTCCTCTCAGATTTTATTAATACTATAAAGAAATGGTGTTGATTTTCGTGGCTTTATTTTGCATCCTTCTACTTTTTTAAAGTGATTTACTATCCTGATTAGTTTCTTTGCTAATTCTCTGGGGTTTTCTACATAAAACAGTATTTTGTCAGCAAATAGGTTTTATTTAATTTTATCTTTACCTATGTTTATGCCTTTAATTTGTCTCTGGCCTTATTGCTATCACTAACATTTCTAGATCTACATCCAACAACTAAAGGATGTTCTTTATTTGACGGCTTCTATTGTTTTGTATTGCAAATAATGCTAACTTTTAATTTGGGGTGCATCCTTTTAAATCATATCAATGTTGTTGTACTGTCAAGATAGCTAAGAACTCCTCAGCTCTGGTCCCAGGAAAACCGAGAGAGAGAGAGAGAGAGAGAGAGAGAGAGAGAGAGAGAGAGAGAGAGAGAGAGAGAGGAGAGAGAGAGAGGAGGCAGGCACTGGCTCCTTATTACCCATTGAGTAAAACTTAAGCTCTTTGCCTTACATTCAAGGCTATCCACAATCTGGTGCCAGCTCACCGTTCCTCAGCATCCATATTACTTCCCCTCATGCACTGTATATACCAGTCAAATTGTACCACTCTTTCTCCCCGACCCTCCCCAAACACTCTGTCTTGTCTGTCCTACCTTAGTGTCTTTGTTCACGTTGTTCCATAGGCCTAGAGTATCTTCCCTCTCTGTTTTGTTTTGCTGAATTTTTTCCATTCTTTCAAGATCCACTCAAATTCCACCTCCTCCATGAAATGTTCCATGACTCTTACTGCCCCCCCCACCAAACTACAAGTTGGTAATGATTTCTCCTCTTTGACTTCATGCAGTCTTTGTTTACCACTCTCTCGTAATATTCTGCAGGGTGTCCTGAAAGTCTTGGAGCAGTGTAAAGCTAATAGTTTATAAGCTATTTTTTAAGCTTAGTAGTTATCTGTAAGAGCCTCTCTTGCTTTCAAATTGAACCTTTTCCTTTCAACTTTATTTCTTATTACTTTCTTCTACATACTCTACATTCCAGGCAAACTGTACTCCCAGCTGACCCTGATCTTGCCCTGATCTCTTTCATGTCTGCTTAGTGGCAGAGGATGTCCCCCATGCCTGGACTTCACTTACTCTTCATCTCTAGCTATTGAAATCATTTTGTGCCTCCAAGACTTAGCTCAGGTATTTTCTTCTTGAATCTATTGCTGTTCCATCCAGCTGAAAGTGTTCTCTTCCCTCTCAAATTTATCTGGATCTCCTTTATGCCTAACATATCTGAGCTTTTATTTTACTTCTTTTGATGCATGTCTTATCCTCACAGCAGTTTCTTGGGGACAAGGACCATGATGTTTCTGATACTTGAGAGGCAGCATAACATAGTGGCCAGAGTTCTGGACCTGGAGTCAGGAAAAACTGGGTTCCAGTTCCACCTCCAGCCCTTATTAGCTGTGTGATCATAGGCAAAATATCAGTCCTCCCTGAATTTCAGTTTTCTCATCTATAAAATAGGGTTCATGATAATGCCACTTTGCAGGGTTGTTGGGAGACTCCACTGAGATAATCCATGTGAAATGTTTCTTAATCTTTAAAGCGCTAGGGCAGAGGTCAGCTAGTATTATCTTTTTTGAGCAAAGTGCCTTATATGCAATTAGGACGTAATAAATATTTGGTGAAATGTGGTACAGTGGC